CACCTTCCAACAGGACAACGACCCTAAGCACACAGCCAAGACAACGCAGGAGTGGCTTTGGGACAAGTCTCTGAATGTCCTTGAGTGGCCCAGCCAGAGCCCAGACTTGAACCCGATCAAACATCTCTGGAGAGACCTGAAAATAGCTGTGCAGTGACGCTACCCATCCAACCTGACAGAGCTTGCGAGGATCTGCAGAGAACAATGGGAGAAACTCCACAAATATAGGTGTGCCAAGCTTGTAGCGTCATACCCAAGAATACTCGAGGCTGTAATCGCTGCCAAAGGTGCTTCAACAAAGTACTGAGTAAAGGGTCTGAATACTTATGTAAATGTGATATTTCCGGGTTCATTTATTTTTTGCTAACATTTCTAAAAACCAGTTTTTGCTTTGTCATTATGGGGTATTGTGTGTAGATTGAGGAGAATTACAAAAAAAATCCATTTTAGAATAAGGCTGTAACGTTAACAAAATGTGGAAAAAGTCAAGGGGTCTGAATACTTTCCGAATGCGCTGTAATTGTCCCATACAGTATTTGACTAGAACATGAAATTCATATGTTTTTGTATGCAATGGCAGGTTGTGAGCATGTTGAGAAATATGTCAGTCTTACAGTTTCATTATCCTTATACAGTATATACTGTACAAATCATCAGAAATAGGGTTATTGTAAAGCAGATGTAAGCTACTGTAAAAACGTAGCATGGTGTTGTATGCCATTTCTGCCCCATGCAACATTGTACAAGATCACCTTTTCTATGTGTCTTGTCAACTGATACAGTATCGCCTGTCTCTCTGCTTGAAATTCATCAACTTACAGTGTATCAATGAAATTCTTATAAGTAGTGGAATATATTGTACAAACCAGGTATTTCAGTAGGGCATTGTACACTACACTGTAATTCCAAATAGTAGCAGATAGAATGACTCTTTCCACTTTGTCCTATTGAAACACACTGGCTGATGGAGAATGAATATGTAGTATTTACAGCCATACACTGAGTGTACAAAACACTAGGAACACCTTCCTAATATTGAGTTGTACCCCTTTTTTCAGAACAGCCTCAATTCGTCGGGCATGGACTCTACAAGGTGTCAAAAGTGTTCCACAGGGATGCTGGCCCATGTTGACTCCAATGCTTCGCACAGTTGTGTCAAGTTGGCTGGATGTCCTTTGGGTGGTGGACCATTTTTGATACACACGGGAAACTGTTGAGCGTGAAAAACTCAGCAGCGTTGCAGTTCTTGACACACGCAAACCGGTACGCCTGGTACCTACTACCATACCCCGTTCAAAAGGCACTTAATTTTTGTCTTGCCCATTCACCCTCTGAATGGCACACATACACAATCCATGTCTCAATTGTCTCAAGGCTTAAAAATCCTTCTTTAACCTGTCTCCTCCCCTTCATCTACACTGATTGAAGTGGATTTAACAGGTGACATCAATAAGGGATCATACACTACATGGCCATCAATTTGGTGGATTCAGCTATTTCAGCCACACCCGTTGCTGACAGGTGTATAAAATCGAGCATACAGCCATGCAATCTCCATAGACAAACATTGGCAGTAGAATGGATCGTACTGAAGAGCGCATTGACTTTCAACATGGCACCGTCATAGGATGCCAGCTTTCCAATAAGTCAGTTCATAAAATTGTCCCGGTCAACTGTAAATGCTGTTATTGTGAAGTGGAAACGTCTAGGAGCAACAACGGCTCAGCCGCGAAGTGGTTGGCCACACAAGCTCACAGAACGAGTGCTGAAGCGCGTGTTGTGTAAAAATGAGTTTCCATGGCTGAGCAGCCGCACACAAGCTTAAAATCACCATGCGCAATGCCAAGCGTCGGCTGGAGTGGTGTAAAGCTTGCCGCCATTGGACTCTGGAGCAGTGGAAACGCATTCTCTGGAGTGATGAATCACGCATTACCATCTGGCAGTCCGACAGACGAATCTGGGTTTGGCGGATGCCAGGAGAACACTACCTGCCCCAACGCAGGGTGCCAACTGTAATGTTTGGTGGAGGAGGAATAATGGTCTGGGGCTGTTTTTTATGGTTCGGGTTAGGCCCCTTAGTTCCAGTGAAGGGAAATCTTAATGCTACAATGACATTCTAGACGATTCTGTGCTTCCAACTTTGTGGCAACAGTTTGGGGAAGACTCTTTCCTGTTTCAGCATGACATTACATTACATTTTAGTCATTTAGCAGACGCTCTTATCCAGAGCGACTTACAGTATACTGGCCCCCCGTGGGAATCAAACCCACAACCCTGGCGTTGCAAACGCCATGCTCTATCAACTGAGCTACATCCCTGCCGGCCATTCCCTCCCCTACCCTGGACAACGCTGGGCCAATTGTGCGCCGCCCATGAGTCTCCCAGTCGCGGCCGGCTGCGACAGAGCCTGGATTCGAACCAGGATCTCTAGTGGCACAGTTAGCACTGCGATGCAGTGCCTTAGACCACTGTGCCACTCAGGAGTTGACAATGCCCCCTTGTACAAAGCGAGGTCCATAAAGAAATGGTTTGTCGAGATCGGTGTGGAAAAACATGACTGGCCTGCACAGAGCCCTGACCTCAACCCCATCGAACACCTTTGGCATGAATTGGACTGCAGACTGCAAGCCAGGCCTAATCGCCCAACATCAGTGCCCAACCTCACTAATGCTCTTGTGAATGGAAGCAAGTCCCTGCAGCAATGTTCCAACATCTAGTGGAAGTATCCCCAGAAGAGTGAAGGCTGTTATAGCATCAAAGAGGGGACCAACTCCATATTAATGCCCATGATTTTGGATTGAGATGTTCGACAAGCAGGTGTCCACTTTTGGCCATGTAGTGTAGCTTTCACATGGATTCACCTGGTCAGTCTGTCATGGAAAGAGCAGGTGTTTCTAATGTTTTGTACACTCAGGGTATGTTAACTAGGCACTACATCATTTTGGTGCAGTAGTTATCCGTTTTGAGCAGTTTGATTAAGTGATTGTTCATTGTATTGTTAACAAATTAAAATAAAATCATATCAAAAGTAAATGAAATATTGCATTTTAAAAAGCAGATACTTAGATTGAATATGTATCCAAATTGAAAGAGTGGTTTGCTGCAGTGAACAAGTGACTGTGAATGTGTTTGTTGTTCTCAGTCAATTGAAAATGTGCTTAGAGTTTTGAAAAATGAGCCATTTTGATGGTCCGTTTAGATTTTTGTGCTTGGAGTTGTGAAAATATACCACATGCTTATGAAAATGGCACCAAAGTTATTGAAAAAAACTGGATCCACAAAATGTCTGAATAAATTTACCAGTCACAATTTGCTTTAATTATATACTGTATGTGTGCGTGTTTGCTTCTGCTTAACTTTGTTTGTGTTTCTGGGTATATGCTCACGTGGGGTTGCTCGCGCATATGTTTCAGTGTGTGTGTGTGTGTGTATGTGTCTGTTCCAGTAAGTGCTGCAGTGGATTAGTCACCTGGTTTATTTAAGGCAGAGTGAGGGTGCAGATGCATCAGTGCATAACCGCTTATTTGTACATATAGTACATAGTTAATGAGAGACTGGGTTGCTCAGTCAGTTAGTCAGTGTGTGTGACTTTGGTCCTCAGTCAGTCAGTCAGTTAGTCAGTGTGTGTGACTTTGGTCCTCAGTCAGTCAGCCAGTCAGTCAGTGTGTGTAACTTAGGTCCTCAGTCAGTCAGGATGCAGAGCAACATCTACAGGCAGCAGAATGAGCACTTTGAAGTCTTTACCACCGTCCTCTCCCCACAAGGTGAGTAGCACTGCTTATATATATATATATATATGTGTGTGTATGTATCTGCAGTGGGCTAGACTGGAGAAGCTTGGCAAGGAATAATGGTAATGGCAAGAAAATACACCCTTACGAAAAAAGATTGCAGTTAGAATGCAGTATAACTGCAGTATGCTGCAATTACTGCATCCAAAGTACCACAGTTGACTGCAGTTACTGCACTTTTACTGCAGTTTCAAAACTGCCATCTTTTTTTGAAAGGGCAGTGCTTAACTTGTGTGTGTGTGTATAGCACATTATTAGCAAGTTATTACTATTATTATTATTAGCACATTATTGTAATTCTAAAGATTCATGATAATGACTTTTCAATTATGATTAAAATTCCATTCCATTTGATTTGTAGTGTATACTGCAGTTGTTTATTCTGCATACTGTACGGTCCCGGGTAGTGATGGCAACCTGAAATGCATCTAGAATCATGTTGTTGTTTTTATGAAATAATTTTAAGTACAATACCAACTTTTCCTTCTCTGATGCTTTGGTATAGTTCTTTGTGATGGGAGCTATTTTTTACTGATTCATCTCTCCTTGTTTACCAGTTCACCGGGGACGATGCCAATTCAGACAGGCAGAGGCTGACAAGGCAAGTTATTTTCCTGTTAATGCTCCCCCTCAGATCCTCAATTTTTATTAACTATGCTGAATGAAAATATGCTTGGATGAATTCAACTTATAGATCAAATTGGTAGATTTGCTCACCAATTCACCCTCATATCCTCTGCATTCTGTTCATGCAAGGATGATACATCTAGATTGTTTTTGTGTCACCAGCTACACTTATCTGTAGAGACAATTGCATTAGTTAGTTACAAATTAGATGCTGTCTGTTATGTCATTCATTACCATGAGACTAAAGAGAACAGATCATGGAGAACAGCAGGTGATTGGGTTTCTTTTTAACTGCGAGCCAGGCGAAAGCCAGATAATCCATGGATCTTTAGCCATCCAACTAATCCTCTACATTCATTCAGGTATAGACTCAATGTGAATGAACTGCGGTCAAGGAATGGAACAATGAAAGGACATGTCATGACACCTCTTTGATCATCACAAGGCACACTATATCATATAAACTTACTGCGGAGAAAAGCATATACTGTGACAGGCATATGGGACAACGCTGCATATGCTCACAAATACTGCATCTGTCTTGTTACATATTAATTTATTGAAGATGCATCTATCCACTAGATGGTGGTAAAGCGCAGCTACAAGCCCCACTGGCCAGATGAGCTGGCGCTGACCCGGGGCGAGTTCATCCTGGTTCTGTGTAAAGATGATGAGGCCCGGTGGTTTGGGCGGCTGCAAAACGGACAACAGGGATATTTCCCGGCCTCGCATGTCGTGGAGATGAGCCACCAGGTTAGTGGCTAGTGGGAATTGTATTATGCTTGCAACGTTCCATCTCTGAGTGTGCAACAAGGCTCTATTTCTAGTCTATTCTATGTATAGTCATCAATCAAGACTTCGATTAGTTAAATCAATTGTGTTGGTGCTTGTGTTGGAACAAAAGCCTGCATACACACCTCGCACACCCTCTACCTGCTCGCAGAGATAAGATTGCCCACCCCTGCTATTTATAAAGAATAACTCTGCTGACTTACAGAAAGGTATGGCAGGTTAGAATAGCCTAGCTGAGGTTCGTGACAGGACAGAGGGATAGCAATACAGAACAGTCCCAGCAGTAATCCAACCCTGTCACTGACACACCTCTGTTTATGTTCTCAGGACGATGAGCCAGCTAAAGATGTCCGCCGCTTAGCGAGACGGGGTTCAGCTCCGGCCACGTATGCAGGTGGTACTGGGTGAGAGCAGCGCGCCCAAAACACACACACAGATACACACTCAGAAAGACACAAACACACACTCTATCCTCAATCAAACTCCCCTCCACAAGTGCGTGTACACAACTCACACACACACACACACACCCCAGCAGCTGCTCCCCACACCGCCTCCACCTCCTCCGATTCCACTCCGCCCAGCGCACCCTGAACAGGTGGCCTCTCTCATCCCTCATTAGTTGACAAAGCACACAGATTACATCCCTCCACCCCACCCTCCCTCCCTCCCTGATCAATTCCCTCTCACTGCACTGCTGCTCCCTCACACACAGGACCACAGTGGGGGCTCACAGTCACAGACCTGCGTTCAGGGGAGTAGATGAGGGCTCCCTCTTTCCCTCAAAAAATATTGTGTTTCATAATGTCAAACAGTGAAACAGAACTGTCTGTATAATCTGACTGAAGTGCCCTCAGTGAACGTGGAAATGTAAACAGTAGTTGGATGTTGTTTTAGAGATGATCCAAGATTATACATTTTAGTTGTCCCGTGTGACTTAGGCCCCTTCTTAATGTGTGTAAAGGTGAACCTAGCTCCTTGAGCTGTGACAGCCTGCACACACACACACACACACTCAGAGCAAGCCCCCTGAACAGCCCTGCGCTTGTCTTGTCTGCGCCGAGCGCTGGAATTTGGGTCAGCGGGAATAAACATGTCCTTTGTGTTTGTTGTGTTCTCTTTGTTCTCCAGCGCACTCAGGCTGCAGGCCCTCCGCAGAGCCAGCAGAGCAGCGGCAGGAGGGGGACCAGAGGGGGCCGAAGTGGAGAGAGAGGGCCCCATCCTGATACTGAAGTCCCAGATCTCTCTCCCTAACAGGCAGCCCCAGCCCGTGCCCCAGCCACAGCCACAGGCACACAGCTCCCCAAGCTTCCTCCACAGGATCCTGTCCAAGCACCGTCGGAGGAGTGAGTGTCTTGGGTCCACCAACACGGGCTACATGGCCGACTAGGATGCTACGATGGATGGTGGTGTGTGTGGGGAGAGTAAGAGGGTAAAGGAGGGAGGAGAGAGGAGGAGATTGGGTATAGCGATGGGATATTTTTGAAAAGTGACTACATTTTGAGCCCACCCCAATTGGGCCAGGTAGGGTTGCCATAGTTACATCACTGTTGCTAGTCTATGGCTGGACTGCTGGCTGCATCATTGAAGAGCTGGAGTGAGGGTAACTACTTCCCTGGCTCCTCTGTAAAGTGTTCCAGAAATATGAATGGTGTACTGTATATAACGTTTCCGGGATTAAGATGTGACATTAAGCAAACCTTAAATTGAGGGGTTGAATAGGGGGGGAAAGTATTTCATTAATAGTCAAAGAGGGATCAGATTTATGACTATATTTTATGAAGCTAAATGTGTTTTCTTCAGCCAAATGTTCCATGAGTCTGTCAGAGCTTTCTGTTCCATGTTGTCATCCATATTAGGCTGGATTCTCTGTTAAGCAACTACCACGTTCCAAAGCAACCTGCACTAAATCATTGATATATTTCCTTTTGACTATAAATTGTTCAACCTTCATTTGTGTAAATCCCAACATCAGCCAATAATGTATTTTTCATAAAAATAATAAAACCTGTACTTGCGGCTGATGTCCCTTCATCCTAGTTAGTAACATATTCCACTACAGCATGTACCACGTCAAGAGTCTCCCATTCGACAGAGCTGAAAAAAGCCCTGTGAAGTGAGAGGATGTGTGATTGAGGCGTGTTGAAAGGCACTGCCAAAGGAAATGGCATCATTATTGTGAAGGTTGCCCGGGCAATGGTAAAACAGCTCTCTTTCTCTGGGCTCCACACGGTCTTCAGTGTTACCTCCCAGCATGGCCACAACTGTGTACCCTGTAGAATGTATCTTTGGAAGGACTAAAGATCCAACTCTCTAATCCCAATCCTAACCTTGACCTCAGATTTAGACACCACATCCACCAGCCCAGTGATGTGTCCATCAGATCTATTCTAACAGACCATATCCCTGCCTGATATGTGAGATTATCACTACCAAGCAGTAATGCTAGCTACGGGGAATGATGGTTAAAAAGGTAAGCATTTTAAAAAAACACCAAAGCCAAAAGCCATCCTGTAATTTATTACCAGCTGTATGGTCAGTCTGAACCTCCGTGTTGTTGAGATGAAGGCAGAAATAGTGTCTGAACAGTTTTCCAACATCTTGATGTTCTTCACACACCTTACAAGCCTTCCTGATTTCTTAGTACAGTTGAAGTCGGAAGTTTACATACACCTTAGCCAAATACATTTAAACAGTTTTTCACAATTCCTGACATTTAATCATAGTAAAAATTAATTGTCTTAGGTCAGTTAGGATCAACACATTATTTTAAGAATGTGAAATGTCAGAATAATAGTAGAGAGAATGATTTATTTCATATTTTATTTCTTTCATCACATTCCCAGTGGGTCAGAAGTTTACATACACTCAATTAGTATTTGGTAGCATTGCCTTTAAATTGTTAAACTTGGGTCAAATGTTTTCGGTAGCCTTCCACAAGCTTCCCACAATAAGTTGGGTGAATTTTGGCCCATTCCTCCTGACAGAGCTGGTGTAACTGAGTCAGGTTTGTAGACCTCCTTGCTCGCACACGCTTTTTCAGTTCTGCCCACACATTTTCTATAGGATTGAGGTCAGGGCTTTCTGATGGCCACTGCAATACCTTGACTTTGTTGTCCTTAAGCCATTTTGCCACAACTCTGGAACTATGCTTGGGGTCATTGTCCATTTGGAAGACCCATTTGCGACCAAGCTTTAACTTCCTGACTGTCTTGAGATCTTGCTTCAATATATCCACATAATTTTCCTTCCTCATGATGCCATCTATTTTGTGAAGTGCACCAGTCCCTCCTGCAACAAAGCACCCCCACAGCATGATAATGCCACCCCCATGCTTCACGGTTGGGATGGTGTTCTTCAGCTTGCAAGCCCCCCTTTTTTCCTCCAAACATAACAATGGTCATTATGGCCAAACAGTTCTATTTTTGCTTCATCAGACCAGAGGTCATTTCTCCAGAAAGTACAATATTTGTCCCCATGTGCAGTTGCAAACTGTAGTCTGGCTTTTTTATGGCGGTTTTAGAGCAGTGGCTTCTTCCTTGGTGAGCAGCCTTTCAGGTTATGTCAATATAGGACTCGTTTTACTGTGGATATAGATACTTTTGTACCTGTTTCCTCCAGCATCTTTACAAGGTCCTTTGCTGTTGTTCTGGGATTGATTTGCACTTTTCGCACCAAAGTACGTGCATCTCTAGGAGACAGAACGCGTCTCCTTCCTGAGCGGTATGAAGGCTGCGTGGTCCCATAGTGTTTATACTTGCGTACTATTGTTTGTACAGATGAACGTGGTACCTTCAGGCGTTTGGAAATTGCTCCCAAGGATGAACCAGACTTGTGGAGGTCTACAATTTTCTGAGGTCTTGGCTGATTTCGTTTGATTTTCCCATGATGTCAAGCAAAGAGGCACTGAGTTTGAAGGTAGGCCTTGAAATACATCCACAGGTACTCCTCAAATTGACTCAAATGATGTCAATTAGCCTATCAGAAGCTTCTAAAGCCATGACATCATTTGCTGGAATTTTCCAAGCTGTTTAAAGGCACCGTCAACTTAGTGTATGTAAACTTCTGACCCACTGGAATTGTGATACAGTGAATTATAAGTGAAATAATCTGTCTGTAAACAATTGTTGGAAAAAGGAGATGTCCTAACCGACTTGCCAAAACTATAGTTTGTTAACAAGAAATGTGTGGAGTGGTTGAAAAACAAGTTTTAATGACTCCAACCTAAGTGTATGTAAACTTCCGACTTCAACTGTATGTGATATAGGATGTTTGATGCTGGAGGCCTGGCCTCCACAGCCATCTGCTGAGAAAGGCTTAGCGCTTCTGAGAGAGGAGCAGCTTTCCCCTCTGACTGGCCTCTCTCTCTCCTCTCCTCTCCTTCATCCATTCATTCATTCATTCAATCAGTGCTTTAATTAGCTTTAATCCAGGGTCAAACTCTGCCTCTCTCTCCGACTCCTGGAATAAGGCCTTGCTATGTGGATTATTGTGGTTGACATCCAGTGGGGGACAGTGACTTTGTGTGTCCCTCACTGGGCCTCCCTCAGCTACACACAGCGTGACAGAGGCCCCACTCTCATAGAGGCCCAGAGGGCTGGTGTGTGTGTGGAGGGGGGGGGTGTTCACCTGCCTGACACCTGTTCTCTCCTCTTGGAGCAGCAGATGCTATGCAGGAGAGTGCTGAGCCCTGCTGAGCACTGCCCCACCCCGGGTGACCACAGTCTGTACCCCTCATACACTCTGTCTTCCCTGCCCATTCAACCAGGACCCCTTGACACCACACACACGCACACACACACACAGAGGCTCCAGTTACACCGCAGATACACCCAGACAGAAACGCAAACCACAGAGACCAACCCAGTCCAATGTATTGTATCACCCCTCATTATGAATCTGTTTGTTGCTAAAGGTGTAGTCAGGCACAGGCTCCTCTGGTATAGTAGTTAGGCACTGCTGTTCATATGTGAGCCTGTTTAACCTCACATCACTAACACACACAGGGGACTGGAGACCAGGACCTATTTACAGCAGAAAGGGCAGGGTCCAAAACACACACGCAATTTGTTTTTCCCGCCTAAAGTGCCCCATCCCCTCGGTGGTGCACTGTGCTGTGTTCAGTGGGAGACCAACATGGTGCCTGCCAGATGACTGCCCTGTCAGTGCTATAATGGGCTGCCATCTGCTGTCTGGCATACACAAAGGCTGGCAGTGTCAGTGTGTGTGTGTGTGTGTGTGTGTGTGTGTGTGTGTGTGTGTGTGTGTGTGTGTGTGTGTGTGTGTGTGTGTGTGTGTGTAGGGGAAATATGGGAGGGGGAGGGACACTTGCCACATGCTGCTCCTCGAGCTCTCCGCATTGAACACAAATACACACACAGCAAAGTTTGAGCACTGTACAACATAATTAATTGAACAGTATATACATTTCATTGAAGTAAAACACATTTCTCTAAAATCACTAAATGTGTTACTCATTGATTGTGTACTACTACCACAATAAATGCCTGTGAATACACTGTATAGGACATGTCTGTACCGATATGCAACAGGTGCATGTGTGGCCACACTAAGTCAAAAAGAGCTGCACTGTGCAGGACCAGCACAATCCACTCAGTAAACACAAGGCTTTACAGGCTGCTGCCAACAACCGATTAAGAGGCAGTAAGCCTTTGACGTGTCTCAAGCCTGAGTCCAGACCATCTGAAAGCAACAATAGCTCAAGTCCTGCCCAGACAAGAGCCATAGGGAAGGGGAAACAGATTGATGTAGTGGATATTTGCGTGTACGTGTGTACTGCTGATGCTACCCCAGCAGAAGGCAAGTCGCCGGGCCTTGTGCCCCTCCTCTTGGGGGCAATTGAGTGAATGGGGCTGTAAAAGCAACAGGCCCTGGGGACAATAGCGCCCGGGGGCATTAAGTCACGGGTGACTGGGCGTCTTTAGGGCCAGCAGCTGACCCTGTGGAGAGGCCTCTTGTCCTGCCGGAGGGGGACTCGTGTCCGCAGACCCCAGGCCAAGCTGACAGCACCCCGCCATACACACACACATTCACACACACACACACACACACACACGGAAGGGGGATTGTGTCCATGGTGAACCCAGGCCAAGCTGACAGCACCTCGCCATACACACACCACAGGCAGGGGGAACATATACACAGGACAGGGAATGGGGTCGGGCCTGCGGTCAACCCCAGCTACTGTTAATTCACTGCCATCAGGACCTGACAGGACTGGACAGGGAACAGAAGAGTCCTTCCACTGGAGGGAAAAGGAGGGAAAAGGGATAGAGGAAGGTATTTGGATGACCACGAGGTTAGACATGAGATTAACACTGCAGTTTTATTGAAAGGTGCACCAAGATCATAACATCCTATTGCTGTTACATGACACAATGGCAAAGAACAAAGCACCACAAATGCAATGCAATAACATTTTATTATTATTCCATATTAAGTACATGGTTACAATGGCAGTTGACAGGAATTCTATGGTACCTGGTTATGATTTCAGCAGAAAATACTGTAAAATTACATCTGTGATTGCTGTAGCTGTAGTAAAAACATGATAATTGAAAAGTCCAGCGTATAGCTTATTGTTTATGCATGATTATGACAACAACTGCTACTATAAATGTACTTAATTCCGTCATAACCTAGGGTTGGATGTCCAAATGTTAACATAAAAACATGTTGCAAACAAAACATAAAACATACATACAGAAAGTCAAACCAACCAACAGAACAGAGAACAAACATATATTCCTATTTACTGTAGCGGTTTGATGTCGGAAAATAAGAAAGTTAAGAAACTGTGGTTCTGTGGAGCTCAGAGAGGGTGAACATACATGATCTTTCACTTGATCTCTCCTGAGGAGATTCCCTTCTTATTCTCAAACACACTTAATGCTAGATAATCCCGATTATAATCCCGATTATAAACAGTTGGAAGACTGTTGGAACGAATGACACCAACTATCACCACAGGGACCATAGATACTCTGCTGCTTCCCTATTATTACAGAGGCAACCAATCAGAGCCATAGAAGACTGCATTGTCACATAAAAGCTTCATCTTTCATTGTATGTTGAACATCTTATATTGTACTTGTGATTATTACTGATAAACAATTGATTTTAAACAGCTCCGTCTTTACATGCCATGTAAAAACATACATCAAACAGCTCCGTCATTACATCTTTATGTCAGTGTTCAATAGTCACATGTAGTGAGACATTCATCCAATGGCACTGGGTTTAAGAAAAATATAATACAATTTAAAAAATACACACAAAAACAACAGCTACGTCATAAGCACAAACAAATGAACGAAACAACACTTAAACGATGAGAAAAGTGCAATTTGTCTATGATTAGAGGTTGGAGACTGAATCCTGCTACTACCTATGGAGAACACAAAGAAACTCTGATTCCAGGGGAAACTGTTCTACCAATATCAACAACTCAGTGATGTCACTTTACAATGGTTATTAACTAAATCTGATAGTTCAAAGAATGACTGAATGAAAGATATTAGTGGCAGTGCATGTTTGCTTGTTATGTCTAATTCTGAGAAATTAGTTGAAAGGTAGCCCAATCCTTTTTCTTATAGAAAGAAAATATAATTATTCGATCATTTCTTTTTCAATTTTTTGAAATAAATAAATTAGTAAACATTGAATAAATATAACCTACAGCATTCACACAAACAGGAGATCCCCTTCAACTAAAATGCTTTCTTTAGCATACTGATGATATGAGCGCTATTAGTCCGTACCAAACATGACAACTGGATTCTGATCTAGGATCAGTGTACCCTTCACCAATCATAACCTAGATCATTAGGAGGTAAGAAGTAGAACTGACCTTAGATCAAAAGGGTTTCAGAAGGGTTTTAGGCTGTCTGTCAGCAAAGGTAAATTTCTCAATGGAAACTTAATGTGTTCAATTTACACTTATATTAATATGTAAGTTTTAGAGAACAGATAATAAATAATAGAAGAAAAAACTAACAAATGAACAAAAAAGGTACCCTTCCATTTTGAGTTTCTTCGCAGTTTCACGCTATGAAATACATTCAACAAAAGTCTCAATTTGAGACTGCTAAAGGAAAGTATGGCCTTGGAATGGAAACTTAATTGTACTATCCAGTTACCTCCTCAACACAGATCGTTTCTCTGCAGCCAAACCCAACTCAGTAGTGCAATACTGATCTCTCTCTCTCTCTCTCTCTCTCTCTCTCTCTCTCGCTCTTCGAGTCTCTCTCTCTCTCTTCTCTCTCAGCGCTCTCTCTATTCTCTCTCTCTCTCTCTCTCTCTCTCTCTCTCTCTCTCTCTCTCTCTCTCTCTCTCTCTCTCTCCTCTCTCTCTCTCTCTCTCTCTCTCTCTCTCTCGACTTCATAACAACAGGTTTAGCAGTACAGGGTAGTTCTACAAACATGCTGGAGAATATACATATAATGTTACATCATAAAATGTATTTTTTCATTTTTGTTTAAACAATATATTAACAATATGAAACTCATAAGCAGTCACTGCTACAGTAGTAATACAAAGTCTATTTCTACAGCTTACTACTTTATGTGTAGGTTGTTCAGTTTTAACACATTATAAACTAGTGTAGAAAATCGAGTATTTCTTATCTGTACAAACCTGTTACATGGCTAGGAGGTCAATGGCTGGTGTGTATTCAAAAGACAAACAAAGCAATTTATGACAACCAAGCAGTGTGACCTTGAAAAACGACAGTCTTACCTTTTCTGTAAAGTATTTTGTGGTACACTTGAGTGTTCAGTTACCGATCTTATCAATACACACATTTCTACATTATTTGAGTAGATCTACACCAGATTGTCTAAATATGTTAAGAGTCGTTAGGAGAAGGAGCATGGGAGCCATAGCAACCTGGACAGGTGTAGTGTGCAGGAACGTAGGCCTCAGAGCACAAGCGCCCTCGAGGTGCAGCCGGAGGACGGGTAGGTACTACTCAGGTACTGCCGGGCCTGCTCTGTCATGATCCGCTGGTCCTCCGTCTTCCCATAAACCACTGCTTCCCACTGGTTATTCACCTGCAGGAGAAGAAGAGAGGACTATTCTCTCCCGCCTCTCAAACCTTTAGCATATCCCCTTGTGACAACCAAGACCTTGATGCTCAATAAAGAAATGTTCACTGAAAAGTTGCCAGGTTTAATTGACAAGGGACCAGCTGAACCTAACATACTGTCCAATATGGAGAGACAACCTTTCCCCTCTCCCTATCATTATATAAATCACCTGAGGAGCAATAATGTGTAGTTAGTAAAAAAAAATATTTGGTGTTGTTTTGTTTTTTACAGGGTAGTTAGGAGTTACACCAAAGAGAGATGTCTGTGTGTACCTGTCCAGGTGAATTGTGGTGGGACATTCTGACCGAGGGGGGGTTCTTCCTCTTGCGGGGGCTGGGAAGGCGGCGGCGGGGGCCATTGGACCCCTCCCTCCCAGACGAGGGGGGGCAGGGTTGCTCCTCTCTGTCTCTCTCAGGGAGGGGGGTCATCAATAAGGAGCTGGTTAACATAGTCTCCTCTGGGACCTGGAGGGGGGCAAGGACGGGTAGACATTGATTTGTTGGTTGGTTCATTGGTTGACTGATGAATTGATTGATTAGTTGGTTAGTTGATTGGTTGACTGATGAATTGATTGATTAGTTGGTTGGTTGATTGGTTGACTGATTAGTCTGATTGATATATCCCAGAACCCACCAGTGCGTTATTGAGCTGGTCCTGGTAGAGCTGGACGTTGAGACAGTCCTTCCCCCAGGAGTCCAGCACCAGGGACTTACGCACCTTCCTGGCTGGGCCATCCACCTGGAAGGGTCAGGGACAAGGTTATGGTTAGACTGGATACCAAGTGCACTAGTTTAAACAGAGGTCATGAAAAGTTTAGTTGTACATGGTTATATGAACACCTACATCATGTTTCCATGTCCTGAAGTCTGGTTGTGGTTCTCTGCTGAAGATGTCTGATCCTATCTCCTGCTTCAGCACCTCCCTGATATCTTCCTCCAGAAAGGCCAGGGGCTGGGGCTGAGATAGAGACACACACATACACACATTAATATGAGCACAATCACAAAGTACTCACACATAAGAACACACAGTGAATTATAAATACTTAAGACTACAGCACACACAGCTAGACCAACTTCACACTTACCACCATCTTTAGCGGCCCATGCATCTTCTCCTGGGCGGCCAGGGCATTCTTAAATGGAGTAGGAGTTCTGGGAGTCGGAACCATGATGGACTTATGGATCTTAGGGGTCCTGAAACTGAGTGAGACAAAGACAGAAATTCTTACAACACCTGCCAAAATGAAGAGATCAATACATCAAACACACACACACGTAATTTAGCCAATGAATCAAATGTGAAAATATGGAGGAACCTGTAGCCAACTCTCTTACCCCACATTCTCTTTCTGGTGTTTGGGTGTGGTCTCCTTCTGGAAGGGTGTGTTGAGGAGATACTTCTGGCCACAGACCGGGGTGGAGGTCAGAGCTGGGTTGTCCAGGCTCAGATGCTCTCCTCCTGATGTGTTGAAGAACTGGAGAAAGACATGATCACAACAGTCAGAAGAAACTATAAAGAGGAACTATACTGCAAGAACCAGATGCACCATCATGCTTTAGCTTGACCTCATCTCTAGCATCAGGCTTGCCTGGGAGAGGGAGAAAGGCAGTGCTTTCGTGGGGGTGTTCTTGGGCGAGTTGATGCTGGGTGAGTCTAAGAAGGACGGACAGCTCCTATCAGGGGACTGGTCCCCCCTCTCTCTCCTCTTCCTCCTCCCCAGGGACGGCAGGCCTGGTCTGGGCACGTTGTTCGGGGTGTGGACCTTCCGCTGACCCAAGGGGGCACTGTGCTTGGTTGAGATGTCGTTGGGGGGGTCAACGGTATACCTCATCCCCTCTGTGGTCCTCTCCTGGGGTACGTAGTTCCCATATGTTTGTTTCGGGGGGGTCGTCGCCTCAGACATGTCGAAGCTGGCCGCCTCGCTCCACGCCATAGGGTCCTGTAGAGCCAGACACATCTACAATGGATTTTCAATACATTCATGCTCTGGGTCTGGTATATACACTGCTCAAAAAAATTAAGGGAACACTTAAACAACACATCCTAGATCTGAATGAATGAAATAATCTTATTAAATACTTTTTTCTTTACATAGTTGAATGTGCTGACAACAAAATCACACAAAAATTATCAATGGAAATCAAATGTATCAACCCATGGAGGTCTGGATTTGGAGTCACCCTCAAAATTAAAAGTGGAAAACCACACTACAGGCTGATCCAACTTTGATGTAATGTCCTTAAAACAAGTCAAAATGAGGCTCAGCAGTGTGTGTGGCCTCCACGTGCCTGTATGACCTCCCTACAACGCCTGGGCATGCTCCTGATGAGGTGGCGGATGGTCTCCTGAGGGATCTCCTCCCAGACCTGGACTAAAGCATCCGCCAACTCCTGGACAGTCTGTGGTGCAATGTGGCGTTGGTGGATGGAGCGAGACATGATGTCCCAGATGTGCTCAATTGGATTCAGGTCTGGGGAACGGGCGGGCCAGTCCATAGCATCAATGCCTTCCTCTTGCAGGAACTGCTGACACACTCCAGCCACATGAGGTCTAGCATTGTCTTGCATTAGAAGGAACCCAGGGCCAACCGCACCAGCATATGGTCTCACAAGGGGTCTGAGGATCTCATCTCGGTACCTAATGGCAGTCAGGCTACCTTTGGCGAGCACATGGAGGGCTGTGCGGCCCCCCAAAGAAATGCCACCCCACACCATGACTGACCCACCTCCAAACCGGTCATGCTGGAGGATGATGCAGGCAGCAGAACGTTCTCCACGGCGTCTCCAGACTCTGTCACGTCTGTCACATGTGCTCAGTGTGAACCTGCTTTCATCTGTGAAGAGCACAGGGCGCCAGTGGCGAATTTGCCAATCTTGGTGTTCTCTGGCAAATGCCAAACGTCCTGCACGGTGTTGGGCCGTAAGCACAACCCCCACCTGTGGACGTCGGGCCCTCATACCACCCTCATGGAGTCTGTTTCTGACCGTTTGAGCAGACACATGCACATTTGTGGCCTGCTGGAGGTCATTTTGCAGGGCTCTGGCAGTGCTCCACCTGCTCCTCCTTGCACAAAGGCGGAGGTAGCGGTCCTGCTGCTGGGTTGTTGCCCTCCTACGGCCTCCTCCACGTCTCCTGATGTACTGGCCTGTCTCCTGGTAGCGCCTCCATATTCTGGACACTACGCTGACAGACACAGCAAACCTTCTTGCCACAGCTCGCATTGATGTGCCATCCTGGATGAGCTGCACTACCTGAGCTACTTGTGTGGGTTGTAGACTCCGTCTCATGCTACCACTAGAGTGAAAGCACCGCCAGCATTCAAAAGTGACCAAAACATCAGCCAGGAAGCATAGGAACTGAGAAGTGGTCTGTGGTTACCACCTGCAGAACCACTTCTTTATTGGGGGTGTCTTGCTAATTGCCTATAATTTCCACCTGTTGTCTATTCCATTTGCAAAACAGCTTGTGAAATGTATTGTCAATCAGTGTTGCTTCCTAATTGGACAGTTTGATTTCACAGAAGTGTGATTGACTTGGAGTTACATTGTGTTGTTTAAGTGTTCCCTTAATTTTTTTGAGCAGTGTATAAACACACATAGCCATGTACTGTACACACAGACCCCATCTACACCGGGCCCTGCTCCACGAGGGTGCAAAAGGGGGCTTAGCCCCCTCAGTTGAAATTTGTGCCACCTCAGTTTTAGTTTTATGTCTCTATATAAAAATGATTGAGTGACAGGTTGGCGCAAAATCTGTATCTCCGCTGCGCTGTGTCAGCACAATGGACAGAGTCCTGCAGTTAGGTGTAGGGGGCTATAGAAAGCCGCTGGGGCAGTTAGGTGTAGGGGGCTATAGAAAGCCGCTGGGGCAGTTAGGTGTAGGGGGCTATAGAAAGCCGCTGGGGCAGTTAGGTGTAGGGGGCTATAGAAAGCCGCTGGGGCAGTTAGGTGTAGGGGGCTATAGAAAGCCGCTGGGGCAGTTAGGTGTAGGGGGCTATAGAAAGCCGCTGGGGCAGTTAGGTGTAGGGGGCTATAGAAAGCCGCTGGGGCAGTTAGGTGTAGGGGGCTATAGAAAGCCGCTGGGGCAGTTAGGTGTAGGGGGCTATAGAAAGCCGCTGGGGCAGTTAGGTGTAGGGGGCTATAGAAAGCCGCTGGGGCAGTTAGGTGTAGGGGGCTATAGAAAGCCGCTGGGGCAGTTAGGTGTAGGGGGCTATGGAAAGCCGCTGGGGCAGTTAGGTGTAGGGGGCTATAGAAAGCCGCTGGGGCAGTTAGGTGTAGGGGGCTATGGAAAGCCGCTGGGGCAGTTAGGTGTAGGGGGCTATAGAAAGCCGCTGGGGCAGTTAGGTGTAGGGGGCTATGGAAAGCCGCTGGGGCAGTTAGGTGTAGGGGGCTATGGAAAGCCGCTGGGGCAGTTAGGTGTAGGGGGCTATAGAAAGCCGCTGGGGCAGTTAGGTGTAGGGGGCTATAGAAAGCCGCTGGGGCAGTTAGGTGTAGGGGGCTATAGAAAGCCGCTGGGGCAGTTAGGTTTGACTCCTTTGGGTTTCCATGAAAAGCGGTAAAAAATACTTCTCATCTGTGGTAGGCTAAGTGAATAACGTGACACGCCTCCTCCTGTAATATCTGATTTAGATTTATAAGGGCGGGGTCAGGTTTACCAATGACTCTGCATCACTCAACTCCACCACTACAGAGTTTAGTTAGCTTCTTAGCTAGCTGTAAAAACCGTTAGTGTTATTAGCCTTAGCCTATTTAGCTAGCTCGAACCAGCTAGTCTGCCACAATGGATATCAAAAATTGGCTTCGCCAAAGTACCCAAACAAAGCTAAAGAAGGAGAGCGATGAGCAGCAGCATCAAACCACGAGGCCGCCGCCAAGCCCAGCAGCGATGATGCTGCCGAGTGCAGAGCCTACCCACCCTTCCACAAGCGCCGCCAGGATAATGGTTCCACAGCCCCCTCCACCTCTGACTGTTCCTGATGATCTTGGAACAGAGGAGCCAGCCCAGGTTAGCCTACAATCCTACCCTAGCCGCAGGTTTTCTGTCCAAAAACGTTCATTTAATAGCAACTGGTTCATAGGAAGAGAGTGGCTGGAATACTCGGTTACTGCAGAATTCAAAGTAATTCCAATGCAAGAACCTAAATGACGTCCATAGGTATAGCTACATAGCGGTGTGTTTCATCATAGAAATAGATAACCATAATAGAATGTAGCCTTTCTTGGTAGCCTATTGGTTTTCGTGGTTGTAAAAGGAACTGTACATATTGGAAACATGTTTATGGTAGGCTGGCATTGCTTAATTGATTACGTGGGTCGAATTTGATCCACAGAAGTGTATTGTGCCATATCACAACATGTTGCTGTACTCATGAGCAGCATGGTTTTCCATGTTTGAAGCTGTCATCAAGGCAAAGGGTGGTATTTGAAGAATCTCAAATATAAAATATATTTTGATTTGTTTAACACTTTTTTGGTTACTACATGATTCCATATGTGTTATTTCATAGTTTTGTTGTCTTCACTATTATTGTACAATGTAAAAAATAGTAAAAATAAAGAAAAACCCTTGAATGAGTAGGTGTGTCCAAACGTTTGACTGGTAGTGTAGGCTGTTTGTAATAGGTGAGTTACCCTATCTATCTTGTAGCCTATATTCATTACCAAAACGGCCTTGCTTTAGTGTGTAGGGATCTGTCCATTGTGCTGATACAGCGCAGGGGAGATAGGCTACAGATTTCGTGCCAACCTGTCACTTCAAAAGCACTCAATCAATGTTCTCTGAATTTCGGCATTTGAAACTATGTTTATTGTGATATAAGCAGAATTCAATATAATTCCAATGCGAGAACCTCCAAAATTGTGCCCCATCACCGATTTCAAATGCCCCCTTAGTCACCCTATCCTGGCGCCGGGTCTGATCTACACACACTCACCGAGTCGATGAGCTCCATGGTCTCTGCAAACTCAGGGATGGTCTGCAGGGTGGAGAGCACAGAACTAGCCTCCACAGCCAGGAACTTACTGGGGGAGACATAGTGCTGGACCTGGTGCTGGCCCTCCTCTGCCAGCCTCCAGCCCCCCTCAGCCAGCTCCACTGGTGGCCCTCGGTCCTCCTCCTGCCCCCTCCAGCCCCCATCAGCCAGCTCCACTGGGGGCCCTCGGCCCTCCTCTGCCCCCCTCCAGCCCCCCTCAGCCAGCTCCACTGGGGGCCCTCGGCCCTCCTCTGCCAGCCTCCAGCCCCCCTCAGCCTGATCCTCCAGACTGCTGCTACTGGTGGTCATGGTGTCATCTGACACACTGTCTGCCCAGCTGGAGTAATGCTCCACACTCTGGGGGAGAAGAGACTGGAGTTAGGGTGCTGGTGATGGTGGGGTTGGACACCAACCAGGTCAGTAAGGCTGACTGGGTTTGGAAAACTCCCAATGAATGAAGTTTTTATGACGTTTCAAGGAAGTTCAATCAAGTTTAGATGACAAGGCAATGTAACGAAATTCATACCCAAAAGTCTCCCCAACACCCAAACTTGTCCCCTCAGTCTAAAACGTAATTGAACCTCATTGAGAAGTCAGTGGTAGGCATGGGTTGAAACACATCAAGAGATTTTATCATTTAAAATCTGAACCACTGACATCATCATAATAGTTTGTTCTTCAATGCAGGTGAAAATTAGATAAATGGATAGAGTGAATAGATGAATGAAGAAAGGGTAAGTCAACAAGGTGGGGATTCTGGTATGGAAGCCACAGTGATGTGGTGAAAAAAGGGAAAAGGTTTAAAACAAAACAAAAACAAAGGAAAAACACATTTGGCCGCTGGCTGAAGTGACCGTGCACTACTGCTGTGAGAAGCAGATAGGAGGCTGGAGGGAAGGAGGCTGGCGGGAGTGAGAGGAGGTTAATGGCGGCGGCCGCTTGGCGAGATGGCAGGAAGCACTGAAAATGGGGGTGAGAGGGTTAGAACTACGAAGCGTAACGGGACTGTGAGGGGAGGGGTGAGAGGGGTAGGCTACTATGACATCACTACTGCATAACTATGCGCTCACATGGACTAGGCTACATCATCACACACTGACAGTGTGTCTTACACATGGGCCTCGGCACTGGGCCTGTCTCCGGACCTCGGTCTCTGCTGACATAAGCAGCAGTTCAAGCTCCTTAATTCTCTGCTCTTTGTCTGGGTCGTCATGGCAGGACGGCTGGAATAAACACACACGGGACGGAGAGGAGGAGAGGACGGAGGGAGTGAAGAAAAGGAACGCAGGGAAAGAAGGAAGGAGAGAACAAATTTACTCACAAATTACTCATATCAGACTCAGGCGTACTCCGATTAACACCAAAGCACACATTTGTTAAAGACACAGAGAAGAAACAGGAATTCAGGCAGGTCATTTAGTTGTTTGATTCAGAGAGTGATTAATACAAAGTGCAGACTGAAGTTAGTACAGTGGGAAGGTATAAGGAAGGGATGGGAAAGTGGACAGGATTGGACGACACTACTACTGATTTAGCTTGTCCATGCTTCAGTCCAAACCTTGAGCTTTTTGAGTCAAACAACATATTGGACTTTTGGCCAGCTGTAAGGAACAGGTCACTCACCGATAAGTAGCTGGAGGAGTCTGGGAGGCTGTCCATCAGCTGGCCACAGAGAGGGCTATAGAGGTAAACCCCAAGCTACAACACACAGGAACATTAAACACTGATCCTTTCATTATGCCAATAAAGCTTGTTTGAATGAAACTGAACAGAACTGTCTGAGAGGCCTCTCACCTGAGTTGGTCCAGCCATGCCCAGAGGGCTGTGCCTGCCGTGGGGGGTGTCTGGTTGGGGGACACAGGGTCTGTGGTGGCGTCTCTTCAACCCCCCGTGCTCTGAGCCGAATCCCCTGCAGCCCTCCTGGAGGTACCCCTCATGCTCCACCTTCCTCCTCATGGTGGAGTTCCAGTGATTCTTGATGGAGTTGTCCGTCCTATAAGGGAGGTCGTTAAAATACTTTAGATCAGTCCAAAAACCTAACCAAACGTACGTTTTTGCCCTAGGCCTTACCCCTTTGGTAATGGGACCAGATCCTATACTGGAGGTGTAGGAAATATGAAGGAAAGCTGACCAGGAGAAGAAGAGAAGCCACTTTTGCTCTATTGAGATGCAACCACCCACTACCTCAGGCAAAGAGCTGTACAGTATATAATTCTGTTACCTTCCAGGCAGCAGCTTGGAGATCTCGGCCCAGCGGTTGCCCAGGCGTTTGTGGGCCTGGTAGATGATGCTGTCCTCTTCCTGGGTCCAGGAGGACTTCTTCACCTCGGGGTTCAGATGGTTGTGCCAGCGCTCACGGCACTGCTTCCCAATCCGCCCCTGCAGGTGCTTAGCAATCACCGACCAGCGCTTGGGGCCATATTTATGAACCAGGTCAATCACCTATACACACAGGAGCAAAGAAGACAGGGACTTGTGACTTCTTACAATGCAATCCTCTGAAATATGCATACTGCAGGGGTAAGCAACTACATTCAGCCACGGGAAGATTTTTGTCGGAGCGGATGGTCGGGGGGCCGGAACATAATTAGAATAATTTGTACACTGCAAATTGACCACAACTAAGCCCAAAAAGAGATCGTATTTGAAAATAACAATAATTTCATACCTTGATTACATTGAGACACGATCACGTCTCTTTTTTATTTGTGGGAATACTTGGGAACATACAGTGGGGGGGAATCACGCCGCCTGTTCACGACCCCTGGCATACTGTATAGTATTTCATCTATTACTGGAGGGATTTATGCCATTACTGCACAAACAGAGGTGCCACATCGTCATTGGCAACACTAGAGAATGTCAAGAATGCAGCTGAAGAAGTAGAACTCGTTGCCACAACACTTCTGTCATGGAGCCAAACATGTTTTATGTTATCTCTTAGCAGGCCCACACTACCCAGTGCGATTATCTTCCTCCATACCTTACTTCTAGCATGTCACTAAGGGCAAGCCAGAACAATACTATCACTGACATGTGTTGTGATGTGAGGCCTAGATGTTGGAGGAACAAAATGTAATTCTTGACATTCCAGGAGGCGAGGCGTCATGTAGTTCTATTTAAGGAATGCATTGTTCACCTTCCAACTATGAGAGATATGACCCTACAGCCTGGCTGATGAGGGTCTGGGCTCAGGACCAGGGAGACTTGGAGCGCTTTGGTTGTTTTAAAGCATGAGGTAGGGGTCGTATGCACAGCCAATGCAAACTAATGCAGGGGCTATGGGCTACAAACAGGGACAGAGAGTGGGAGAGGAGCGCGTGTACTGTATGTTCCCTTCAATGTTTCAGATTACAAAAGAAAAAGGTCTGTGATGTTCATCCTGCAGCTTGTTTGTATTGTGTTATCAATGAGCCGCTCCAATAAAATTCAGCACAATAAATGTTCTCTCTCTACCTCTTTTATCTAATTATTTTACCATACCTCCCATCTTCCCCCCCTCCCCCCAGCCCAGGTTGGGGTAACTCCCATCTCCACTTACCTTCTGATCTTCCTCTTTTGTCCAGGGTCCTTTCACCAGCTCTGGGTTGAGCACCTTCTGCCAGCGGTGCTGACACTGGCCATCTGTCCTCCCCTGTGACAGACAGACAGACACAACGCAGAGCACGACACCTCATTAACACACAAACCCACCTGCAGCTGTCCCCCCGTGTTATCATATTCACATACACACACTCACTAATAACCCCACCTCACACAACACCTGTGAGTACCACTAATAACCCCACCTCACACAAGACCTGTGAGTACCACTAATAACCCCACCTCACACAAGACCTGTGAGTACCACTAATAACCCCACCTCACACAAGACCTGTGAGTACCACTAATAACCCCACCTCACACAACACCTGTGAGTACCACTAATAACCCCACCTCACACAACACCTGTGAGTACCACTAATAACCCCACCTCACACAAGACCTGTGAGTACCACTAATATCCCCACCTCACACAAGACCTGTGAGTACCACTAATAACCCACCTCACACAACACCTGTGAGTACCACTAATAACCCCACCTCACACAACACCTGTGAGTACCACTAATAACCCCACCTCACACAAGACCTGTGAGTACCACTAATAACCCCACCTCACACAACACCTGTGAGTACCACTAATAACCCCACCTCACACAACACCTGTGAGTACCACTAATAACCCCACCTCACACAACACCTGTGAGTACCACTAATAACCCCACCTCACACAAGACCTGTGAGTACCACTAATAACCCCACCTCACACAAGACCTGTGAGTACCACTAAACCCCACCTCACACAAGACTGTGAGTACCACTAATAACCCCACCTCACACAAGACCTGTGAGTACCACTAATAACCCCACCTCACACAAGACCTGTGAGTACCACTAATAACCCCACCTCACACAACACCTGTGAGTACCACTAATAACCCCACCTCACACAACACCTGTGAGTGTCACTAATAACCCCACCTCACACAACACCTGTGAGTGTCACTAATAACCCCACCTCACACAACACCTGTGAGTACCACTAATAACCCCACCTCACACAACACCTGTGAGTGTCACTTGTCATATCACTTTTCTTATCCAGATAATCAAATAAAATACAATTTTATTAGTCACATGCTTCTTAAACAACAGGGGTGGACTAACAGTGAAATGCTTAATTGCGGGCCCTTCCCAACAATGCAGAGAGAAAGAAAATAGTGAAATAATAGAAAAGCAAAACATGTAATAATAAAAGTAATAATAGATACACAATCATTAACGATAACTTGGCTATACACAAGGGTTACCAGTACTGAGTCGATGTGCAGGGGTACAAGGTAATTGAGGTAGATATGTTCATATAACTTGGAATAAAGTGACAGATAGTTAAACAGTAGCAGCAGTGTATGCAATGAGTCAAAAAAGTTTGTGCAAAAAGGGTCAATGCAGATAGTCCGGGTAGCTATTTGGTTAACTATTTAACTAACTATTTAGCAGTCTTATGGCTTGGGGGAAGAAGCTGTTCAGGGTCCTGTTGGTTCCAGACTTGGTGCATCGGTACCGCTTGCCATGCGGTAGCAGAGAGAACAGTCTGACTTGGATGGCTGGAGTCTTTGACAATTTTTAGGGCCTTCCTCTGACACCGCCTGGTAAAGAGGACCTGGATGGCAGGGAGCTCAGCCCCAGTGATGTACTGGGCCGTACACACTACCCTTTGTAGCGCCTTACGGTCGGATGCCAAGCAATTGCCATACCAGGCAGTGATGCAGCCAGTCAAGATGCTCTCAATGGTGCAGCTGTATAACTTTTTGAGGATCTGAGGGCCCATGCCAAATCTTTTGAGCCTCCTGAGGGGGTAGAGGCGTTGTCGCGCCCTCTTCACGACTGTGTTGGTGTGTTTGGACCATGATAGATCCTTAGCCCTGTCGATGTGAATGGGGGTGTGCTCGGCCCTCCATTTCCTGTAGTCCACGATCAGCTCCTTTGTCTTGCTGACGTTGAGGGAGAGGTTGTTGTCCTGGCACCACACTGCCAGGTCTCTGACCTCCTCCCTATAGGCTGTCTCATCGTCGTCACTGATCAGGCCTACCACCGTTGTGTCGTCGGCAAACTTATGCTGGTGTTGCAGTCGTGTGTGGCCACGCAGTCATGGGTGAACAGGGAGTACAGGAGGGGACTAAGCACGCACCCCTAAGGTGCCCCCGTGTTGAGGGTCAGCGTGGCGGTTGTGTTGTTGTCTACCCTCACCACTTGGCGGCGGCACATCAGGAAGTCCAGGATCTAGTTGCAGAGGGAGGCGTTCAGTCCCAGAGTCCTTAGCTTAGTGATCAGCTTGGAGGGCACTATGGTGTTGAACGCTGAGCTGTAGTCAATGAACAGCATTCTCATATAGGTGTTCCTTTTGTCCAAGTGGGAAAGGGCAGTGTGGAGTGAAATAGATATTGCGTCATCTGTGGATCTGTTGGGGCGGTATGCGAATTAGAGTGTGTCCAGGGTGTCTGGGATGATGGTGTTGATGTGAGCCATGACCAGCATTTCAAAGCATTTCATGGCTACAGATGTGAGTGCTAAGGGGCGATAGTCATTTCGACAGGAACTATGGTGGTCTGCTTGAAACATGTAGGTATTACAGACTGGATCAGGGAGAGGTTGAAAATGTCAGTGAAAACATTTGCCAGCTGGTCGGCGCATGCTCTGAGTACGCGTCCTGGTAATCCGTCTTGCCCTGCGGCCTTGTGAATGTTAACCTGTTTAAAGGTCTTACTCACATCGGCTACGGAGAGCATGATCTCACAGTTGTCCGGAACAGCTGGTGCTCTCATGCATGGTTCAGTGTTGCTTGCCTTGAAGCGAGCATAGAAGGCATTTAGCTCGTCAGGTAGGCTTGCGTCACTGGGCAGCTCGCGGCTGGGTTTCCCCCTTTGTAATCCATGATAGTTTTCAAGCCCAAGCCTGTCGTTGATGCTCTGATTAATGAAGCCGGTGACTGATGTGGTAAACTCCTCAATGGCATCGGATGAATCCCAGAAAATATTCCAATCTGTGATAGCGAAACAGTCCTGCAGCTTAGCACCCACTTCATCGGACCACTTCCGTATTGAGCGCGTCACTGGTACTTCCTGTTTACACGTTTTTGCTTGTAAGCAGGAATCAGGAGGATAGAGTTATGGTCAGATTTGCCAAATGGAGGGCGAGAGAGAGCTCTGTGTGTGGAGTAAAGGTCGATTTTTTTAACCTCTAGTTGCACAGGTGACGTTGGTAGAAATTTGGTAAGATGGATTTCAGTTTTCCTGCATTCTCCCCCATCACTATTACATATCATCAATATATATACCTGATTTTTGTTAGTGTGTTACTGTGCTTATTACAGAAAGCTTTGTACTTTAACACCATGTTCTAACAGTATGTAATGATTAAGGGGCAAACATTTTTAACTTACTGGGAAATTATTAGCTACTAATTTCCAGGAGTCTGCTCCATGCTGCTCCACTGACTTCTTCAGCCTCTCGTCCTGCAGCGAGAAGGGGGGGGGGGGGGGGGGGGGGGGGGGCAGAGAGAGACAGTGAGGAGCTTCCTGAGACACTCCCTTCATCCTCAGTGCTTCCATAAGGTAAACGCCCGATACACTTTTTGTTAGCAGGGGACAATATAGGGCTTCCTACATATCATGCAATACAATAGCAGCAGACAATACATTTATAAACTAACAGACTGTTGGACCACAGCACACTTTCACACACATGCTATTCTCAATCAATTTGAATACTAAAACAATGTAAGACAGGTCCAACAAATAATGGTGTAACAGTGAGTGCAATAAACTAACTAGCACACTTGACCAAACTGGCCCAGTCATATGCCTTTTATAGAATTAGCCTACCTCATCGCGAGACCATTTGACTTTGCACAGTATCTTCTTGTCTTTGCTCTTGTCCTTACCCTCAGGATCTGTGGAGTGTGGATCTTCATCCTCAGACTCACTGAAAAATGAGAGATAGAGAGGTAGAGGAAAGAGAGAGAGAGAGAGATAGAGAGGTAGATGTAGAGGAAAGAGAGAGATAGAGAGATAGAGAGGTAGAGGAAGAGAGAGAGATAGAGAGGTAGAGGTAGAGGAAAGAGAGAGATAGAGAGGTAGGAAGAGGATAGAGGATAGAGAGGTCAGGAAGAGAGATAGAGAGATAGAGGTAGGGTAAGCGAGATAGGAGAGTGCGGTAGAGGGATAGGATAGGGGGATAGAGGAGAGGAGTGAGAGGTGGTAGGAACGAGAGGAGAGATAGAGGTAGAGGAAAGGTAGAGAGTCGAGGAGAGCTAGGGATGAAATCGAGAGGTAGGCGAGGGCATAGAGGTAGCGGAAAGAGAGAGATAGAGAGTCGAGGTCGGTAGAGGGCCAGAGAGGGTAAAGGAGAGCGCTGAGAGTGGTAGAGGAAAGAGGGAGAGGATAGAGAGGTAGAGGAAAGAGAGAGAGCATGAGAGGTAGAGGAGAGGAAAGAGAGAGATAGAGAGATGGAGGTAGAGGAAAGAGAGAGGGAGGTAGATAGGAGAGGTAGAGGAAGGAGAGATAGAGGGTAGGGGTAGAGGAAAGAGGAGGATAGAGAGGGGGAGAGGAAAGGAGAGAGAGATAGGAGTAGAGTAGAAGAGCGAGATAGAGAGAAGAGAGGAGAGGAAGAGAGAGAGAGAGATGAGGGTGAGGTGAGGAAAGAGGAGAAGAGGATAGAGGTAGAGGAAAGAGGAGAGATGAGGGGTAGGGAAAGAGGAGGATAGAGAGAGAGAGGTAGAGGTAGAGGAAAGAGGAAAGAGGTAGAGGAAAGAGAGAGATAGAGAGGAGGGTGAGGAATAGAGGATAGAGGGAGAGGAAGAGGAGATGAGGATAGGTAGAGAAAGATAGAGATGAGGATAGAGTAGGAAAGAGAGAGATAGAGAGATAGAGGGAGAGGAATAGAGAGATAGGAGGTAGAGGTAGAGGAAATAGAGATGAGAGGTAGAGGAAAGAGAGAGGAGTAGAGAGTAGAGGAGGGAAATAGAGAGATAGGAGAAGAGAGTAGAGGAAGAGAGAGGAGAGAGATAGAGTAGAGGTGGGAAAGAAGAGAGAAGGAGGTGAGAGGTAGAGGAAAGAGAAGAGAGAGAAGAGGTAGAGGAAGAGAGAGAGAGAAGAGAGGTAGAGGAGAGGAAGAGTGAGTAGGAGTTAGAGGAAGAGAGAGAAGAGAGGTAGAGTAGGGAAAGATAGAGTAGGGAAAGGAGGAGATAGGAGATAGAGAGTAGGGAAGAGAGAGTGAGAGGTCCCGAAAAGGGGGGTGGGGGGGGGGGGGTGGGGTCCGGGGGTGGGGGGGTGGGGGGGGAGGGGGGGGGGGGTGGGGTTTCCCCGGGGGTGGGTGGGTGGGGGGGGGTGGGTGGGGGGGGGTGGGTGGGGGGGGTGGGGTGGGGTGGGGCCCCCCGGGGGGGTCCCCCCCTGGTGGGGGGGGGGGGGGCCGGGTGGGGGGTGGGGGGGGAGCGGGGGGGGGCTGTGGTGGGTGGGGGGCGGGGGTTGGGGGGGGGGGGGAGGGGGGGGGTTTGGGGGGGGGGGGTGGGGGTTTGGGGGGGGGGGGGGGGGGGTGGGGTGGGCCCGGCGGGTGGGGTTTGGGGGGGGGTGACGAAGAACCTAGAAGAGAGGAATAGGGTAGAAGCGTGTAGAGGTCGCAAGAGAGATGCAGAGAGCTGGTCGAGGTAGGAGGCGGCTCGGGTTTGTAGCAGAATCGCTGGTTAGGGGTCGGGTAGAGAGGTAGGTTTAGGCGCTCGGCGATCGCGGCCTAGCGGATAGCAGAGTCGCGTCGAGGCCGTGCGACGATTCAGCGCTATCGCGGTCGCGAACCGGACATGAGCTAGGCTATGAGCGATAGGAGTACAGTAACGGAGAGGTGAGTAGCGAGGAGCGATAGGCAGCTCGTAGCGGAATCGGAATCGGAGAGGCGACGCAGTAGGCGTAAGCTCGCGCTAGAGAGAAGAAGTAATAGGACCGCGTCGACGAGGCAGCTCGTGAGTTCTGGAAGAGCGAAGGGCATCGCGTCGCGCATAGCGAGGTAGTGCTGCGATAGTCGCGAGGTCGCAACGCGCGGCGCGGCGGTCGGGTCAGACGGACGTGGTTGGAGGTTCGCGAGCCGCCGCTCGCTGCGTTCGGTCGCGACAGCGCTCGGCGGTCGCGAGCCGCGCAGCGCGAGGCGCTTGGGTACGAGCACCGCGCGCTCGCGGGTGCGGTCGAAGTCGCTCGCGTAGAGGACTCGTCGTTCTGCAGCAGGTCGACCGCGACGGTGAGTGGCTGCGCGCGCGGGCGCTGAGGCGCAAGGGCTGCGCAGGCTGCCGCATGGTTGAGCGAGCACGCGCGCTCAGCGCGCAGTAGACGGTAGCAGCGACAGCGAGATCCGTCAGCGCGGCGTACGCGGTCGCGGCCCAGGCGCGCTGGGTGCGGCCAGCGCGCGCGCTCGCGCGCTCGCGCCGGTCAGGGCCCGCGCGCGCTCGCGCGTCGCGGCCGGCCGGCGTAGCGGTCGCAGGGTCAGCGATGCGAGCGAGCTAGGCTCGCTCGGTCGGGACGCGCGCTCGCGCGCTCGCGCCGGACGCGGCCGCAGCGCGCTCGCAGGCGCTCGCGGTGCGGCCCGCGACGGCGGCCGGGTCGCGGCCGGCGGCGTAGCTGCGTCGAGCAGTCGGGCAGGTGCGGTGGGACGGCTAGAGGCAAGAGAGAGATAGAGAGATAGAGAGGTAGAGGAAAGAGAGAGATAGAGAGATAGAGAGATAGAGAGGTAGAGGAAAGAGAGAGATAGAGGGATAGAGGGGTAGAGGAAAGAGAGAGATAGAGAGATAGCGAGATAGAGGAAAGAGATAGAGAGATACTTTTATTCATTACTCTTTTCACATTTCATTATAATCAATCACTAATCAACACAAGAGCGTTGACACAATCATGACACGAGCAATATTTCAGCGTTGACTCAGAGCTAGTGACATCATTAAAACATAAAAAGACACAAAGAGGAACAGTACATCATTCATGCCACAACTGAGTCACATACAGCGCCAACCCACTGATAGCCAATTACAAATAACCGTCCAATTTAAAACTGAATCAGAAGTCAATGGATTGAGCAGGCATAGTCATTCATGGTGAAGCAGGATTGGCAGTAGTCTCAGTCTCAGTGTGTGGCGTGCAGAGAGGGAAACAGAGCTGAGACTCATATTAAACAGAACATTCCTGACCATAATTAGAGTAGCCTAGCCGTCCCTTGTTCCCTGCTAGATCAGGCATTATGATGCCAACCCTGGCTGTGGCAGACTGTCTCTATACCTAGGTGGTAAAAGGGTAAGTGCTAGTCTTATTGGTTATAGTGAAACAACTGTTGCCCGTTTATTGGCCATCCACCTTCACACAACTGTCCCTTTTTGCCTTGAATGTTGATTTTAGGAAAATAGAGCCAACTTAAACACCTACACCTCACAATCTATTAGCTTTAATCCAGACTTGTTGCTTCGCAGACACCAAAAAGCTGTAATACTGGACACAGCTTGCCCTTCTCCAATGTGAAATGTCTTGTTGCTGGGCAACACTTCCTTCATGGTGTCACGTTGTGCCAGGGGTAGAACATCTAATAAACAGACAGGGAGGAGGGTTGAGGACAGCAGTTGCCCAGAGTAACCACAGAGCAAACCTAACCTGTAAGTTCACACTGACACTGTTCCAACGGCTGAGACACACCAGAACCAGAGCTATGTAATAAAGCTACACCACAGCTGCCAACAGAGATATACTGAGCTATTGGTTTCACTGCATTCCAGATATTGTCAAATAAGAGTCTGAAGTTAGACAGTATCACAGCACAGTAACATAATATTGGCCTACATGTACTGTAACTGTACAGTAAGGTTAAGGTACCCTGGCAATTGGCTGATTCCAAGGTCAGCCACAGCCACATACAATCCGGGAGACTGCAGGACAAGGGCTGCATTCAGTAGAGCACAATGTGGTGGAACGTTCAGATATCAATATATTTTGTAGGATTAACATGCCTCTCTTACATGCAAAATAAGGAATCACGTCATCTCTGTTCATTGCATTTCTATACAACATTCAGCCCGATGCAATCATCCTGGTTTGGATGAACTGTTGGGTGGATTTACAGTAGTCTTTCTCCCATCTCTAAAGAAGGTCAAAGTATGAAGTTCCTAAATATGGCTCTGTTGTTTTAGCCTCTGAAATACACACTCACACGCACCACCAGCACAGCACACACACACACACACAAACACATTCAAACACTCTAACAGGTTTCCAGTACTGGCCTGTGATGAAAGGGCTTCTTCAGTGGTGACTGGGACATGTCAATTGAATTTCAGCATAATTCCCTCACTACAGGAAAAAGAGAGGTGGAAGTGGCAGGGTCTGGGCCCGAGGTGTGTGTGCTCCCACATCAACAGGCTCTTTGTCGAATCTAGGTGTGTGGCATAAAGGTGTGTGTGTGTGTGTGTGTGTGTGTGTGTGTGTGTGTGTGTGTGTGTGTGTGTGTGTGTGTGTGTGTGTGTGGCGCGGGCTGCGAGGAGGCAGGCCCGGGGTGTGGCTAAACTAATAGGTCAGCCCTAACGGTCCAGGCTGAATTAAACAGGAGTTTCAAAATTGACTCAGGGGGATTGGTATGATTTCTTATATAAGAACTTAGCCAAGGTGTCTGAGCCAGTACTGTTTTGAGTCTTACGTTCTCTCAAACAACTTCTTCATAGACTACTAAGGTAATCTTAATCTATGTGTAATACCTATGTATTTTGTGTACAATGTTGGCGAAGGCACTAAAATATATTTTCTAAATCAAACATGTCATACTCTTCATATGCTTTTTCAATGCCTCATTTATTATGTGAATAAAATATCAAACTGAAATATTGGCTTCTGTAGATTGTGTTCCCACAGGTTTCTTCAATTCAAACTTGAACTTGCATGTGAAATGTAAAGCAGAGGGAGAGAGGACCATCCTCCACCACCCTACCCCTCCCCTTTCACCCCCAGATGGGGCACACCGAGGGGGTAGGGTCTAGTGGGGCAGAGGGTGGAGGGATACACACACACACACGCCACTGAGTTGTTCGTTCAAACGGAAATTACGTCATTGTCATGTTTGTGTGGTTAAGGGCAGTGAGTAGGCTCCAATCAGCCTATAAATCAATAGCTAATTCAGCCATTCACAGGCTCAAACTCATGAATACTAATAACACACAGCTGCTTCTCTCTGGCCTTACCTCAGAGGGAAAATATCTCCATAAATTAATACATTAATGCTCTGACTATGTAATAACCGTTAGTATTCATATATATAATTAACAAAAAATGCTGATTTGTGAAAACAATAGATGTCTTTTAGATGCCTAGCCTACAGTAGTAACCTTCTCTGTTTACCATTTTCTGGGACTCTCTGGGACTTTCTGTTATAGGGGATTTTCCAACCATGTACCCACACAAGGGGGTAGAATGGTGTACCAAACAATCACAATACTATGTTGGACTTACACATTTGTATGTTGGATTTACAGCAACAAAAAAACGTAGTTACAAAAAAAATATCCATACATCTATATTAGTTCCCTTGAACAATAATGTTCATACTAAAATAACAGAGGGCTGGGCCATCTTATCTATTTTTTCTGTAGCCTGGGATGAAAATAGCAAGTGCTCTATCTGTTCAATAGTCTTACTCATGCTACGTCTCACGGTCATGGCTAGAAGAGATCCAGCTTTTGTCAAATTAACGTCAGATTTGACTTTTTGTAGCAGGTTAGGAGAATTTACGAAGCACTGCAGCAGGTTATGAGAATTAACATAGCCGGTTAGGAGAATTAGGTGAAGGTTAGGAAAAGAGTTAGGGTTAGCTAAAATGCAAAACAAATCGAACTTTTTACGTTAATTTGACAAAAGCTGGAACTCTTCTAGCCATGACCACATCTCACAGACTGTCAGCCATGTTTTCTGTTCGGGAAAAGATGTCAATGAATGGGTGTTGAATTGAGCAACAAAATACAATACAGACCAAAGCAATTACATAACCCACCGAACAACTCAAATCAAAGTTTTTTTTTTTTTTTAATCAAAGTTATCATTACCAATTTAGGACATAGCCTTGTCTACTACAAAATAAGCAACTCAAACAGCTGTGCTGGTTCACAAGCTCGTGACAAGTTTTGGTTATTCACTGAAGAGTGCCACATGCACTCTTATGACTGTTCTATAACCATACATTTTGCTCAAACATCCAGCTAAATAACGTATTGATTCAACAATTTTAATTAACCTTTATAAGCATAACTAAGTTGTAATTTATTGTAGCCTACTGTATTTCTAACTAACACGCTATGTGACCGTGAGCAGGTGCTCATGATGTGTCAAAGATCAACGTGACATCAGGCTCAAGATAATGCCATGCATGAGCAATGGGTTTCACTATGAATTGGTATCCTTACTGTAGCTATTTTGTTGCAACATTTTTGTATCATATCTGAAACCATTAAAATGTAGCTAGTACGCAGCCTAATGAACAGCAGATTTAGCAACAATGTATCACCTACCTGTGCGACTTTATGTTGGCCATAATGACAGCTGATCAACGATTTTCAAATAAATCCTCTATTTGTAGTTGGTCTAAAATCCATATAAAAAGCGAATTAGATGATCTCTATGGACAGTTATCCATACAATCCGATGTCTGTCATCTTCCAGTTTATTTTCAGACAGTAGGCTAAAATAAAGTGGCACACTTTCGCTGGTTAGCTAGCGGTTCACTTCCATGTCAAACTCGTTATTGCTGTAGGAAATGTGTGCAATCGTAAATAAAAACGCATCTGCTTATCTTTTACATGTCACCACGATGCATGCAATGTCAATATCCGATCGAATAGGATGTGAACATATATAGCTAGCTAACCCGCCTTGTAGGCTACACACTGTTCTCCCTCCCACTGCACTTCTATTTTGTTATTTTCGCATTCTGATTTTTGTCGATCCCGCCGAATCTCGCGCCCAGCCTCCTTCTAGGAGAGTGTTTGAATCTGCGCAGGCGGCCTCGCACCTGATTGGTCAGAATCGGGGGAGCGCTCCAAAAAGCGCCTGTCGCTTTGAGCTCAAATGTACATGGTAACAATTAATACGAGAGTATTGTGGTGACAAAATCCTATATTATTTTATCTTCTTTTATTTGTCTATTCTACAATCATCATACAATCCTGTTGTAAAAATCTAGCCGATTATGAAGGTAAAGACAAGTATTTATAACATTTTTTTTTTTTTACAATAACAACAATATTCAAGTTATGTTCAATGCAGAACAAAAGAGTAGGCCTACTGTAGTAATATTAACAGAGGCTGGCAGACAGTGTTCCCTTTGCATGCATAACATCAGCCGTGGAATGACAGCTCTATTTCAAATG